TTATAGCCAACCAGACTCTATTTTCCAAGCACCTCAACATTATGCCAGCACCTAGTGAAATCTTCTAACCCCCAAAGTACTCTACAACAGCTTATTCTGAAACAATGTTTGCATGCTATTCTGAGTGTATTAACAGGCAAGAAAATTACCATATAAGAGACCAAACACGGATGTTTAGGAAAGCGTAATTTTTAAATTCCATTAAACTAAATATATATGATTAAAGACGGGCTACTATCTAAACCTGATTCATGCAAGATGTTAATCAACCCAGTAGAAGATATTTGGTGTAGCTTAACCTCATTAAGATTTAGTTAATTAATTGTCTCTTAGGTTAAAGTATCTACTGTAAACCAAGCCTGTTGCGGTTATTTCTTTTCTAGAAATAGGATCATCTTATATGACAAGATGAGTAAATAACCTTTTCATTAAGTATCTGTAGTTATGACAAAAAACCCCACACCTCAAACCCAACTCTAACCTTTAACTTACTTATAACAAAGACCAAGGGTGTGTTTGATTTAGGAATTCTTTTTGGGGGGCGGGCTGTTTGCGGGTTGGGTTTTTGTTTATTTATTTGGTTTTGTTACACAAAGCCTAATAAGGCAATTCTCAGGAAAATAACAAGGTGTATTTCCCAAACCAGATTGTATAATTTGGCAGTTGCATCTTTTCTTTCCTTAGTGGAAAAAGCAATACTCTTAGCATATGAAGTCACTCTGAAGGCATCTCAAATAGAGGACTGAAGATAGTCAGGACACTAATTTATCCTGAACAAAGAAAAGACTACTTTATAAAAGAATGCAGGCTGTAAAAATCATCCAAGAGGCAGCAGTTAAACCTTTCTTGGAATAGTTATAGTTGAGGAGAGAATGGACACCAACCACCGACTCAATATTGCATAACAGGTGACAGAAGCAAGCATACCAAATGGGAAACTATTATAACCCATTCAAACACAAATTTTTTCCAAACCAAGATTTTAAAGGAGGAAGAGAGTTGTGTAACATTCATTTTTTCATACCCTCCTTCATAAGATTCCTTATAAAAAAATGCAATTAATGAGAAGACTGTCAAGTGGTGTTAACAGTTGCAGCGCTATAGAGCATTATGTGATAGCTAGGGAGGAAAGGACACAGGGAAAGATTGTACCTTAGGTTGCCCCAAGTAACCAATTCATACTGGAGGCAATTCTTACAAGCTGGTTTTAGAGAAGACAGAAGTAAGCTTATCATAAAATTCTCTAAGAACCGTCACTGCTGATGATAAAAGGCACCTCACAAGAAGAAAGCAAGCACCATGTAGTTTGGCAGCTATCCATCATATCTGCACACCAGTGGATTTATCCAGTTGCCTTGCTGAAGTTCTGCAGAACTCCTGTGAGGAATCAGAAATCTGTACTACATAGCTCATTTATATTTCTGGAGAAAAGAAAAAAGAAAACCCCAAAAATTTAAAGCATTCTGCAATGGACCTTTAAACTAAAAGGGCCATTTGCTGTGAAACCCAGAAAAAAAGCCAAAACTAAACCACAAACTCCTGTTTCATAAACAACTGCAGGAAACACTAAAATCCTTCTGTAACATACTTATCTTAAATCTAGAATACTAACATTTTATAACCCGGAATAATCCTGTTTAGATAGTCTCTGAAGTACCATTGCACTTCTTCAATAACACATAACTGGAGCTATGAAAAATATTTTTTTCAAAAGGTTTTGCTAAGCCTAAAAACAACATCTGAGCCACCAGTGTATATTTACAATCTTCCTATTATCTACTGCTTGTGGAGAAGGAATTTTTCTGGCGGACACAGGAGAGGTTTCGGATAACATAACATTCATGTAGACTTGCATGTATCTGTAGAATGCACCAACCCTACTGCTCCAGTTTGCCCACAGTGACCAAAGAGGATTTTGCCACATAGTAACATGCAGCCTAAAATCATGAAGGGTGAGATAGCACAGGATGAGAAATTCCTCTGAGGTGACAGTGTCACTCAAGGCTACACAAACCAGCAGTTAACAACCCCCCACTATTAAAGGAACAGATAAAGAAACACGAGAAAGCTCTGTCTGTGCTCAGCTTTTGTCCCATGCTGAACACCACTAAGCAGCAAGCTACTCCTGTTTCAATCGCAAGTATTTCCACTGCAATTCCAGGTAAAGATTTATAGAATGAGAGCCATAACCTCAAATAAATTTAACTGGGGAGGGTGTGTGTATGTGTGTGTGTGTATGTGCATGTGCAAAAGGAAATCAAAATAAATTCTCTCTTAAGTGCAATGCAGCTACGGTAAGAATCTGAGTTCCCTCATAAAGCCTTTGTCATGACAACTACACTGGTACAACTGCACTGATAGCGTCTGCTGGCAGAGACACGGCTGATGTCGACAGAAGATGCTTTTCTGCTGACATCTCAGTCCCATAATTTCAAACAAACTTTGTTCTTTCCTTTCAGAAGAATAATTTTCTTTCAATATTCTGCTTCCTTGACCTGTCTGCACTGCCACAGCTGGGCCTGCTCCACCAACCTCTATGAACAGACTCACAAAATGTCCGAAGCGAGGAACTGTGTTTCTCAAGTCAAAACTTTCCTATTTTAATTTTCAACATTTCCTTTTAAACTAAACTTCACATTCACTAAGTGGGATAAATACCAATTACTGTGACTTTGATACCAACTAACAAAGCTGATTCTGGGTATACTGATGAGGCTCAAACTTAAGGATTTAATTTAACCTCATGAAAAAGAATTCTCTCTCAATAAATCTGTGAGCTAAGGAAACGTACAGATTTCAGAAGAGGAAAACGTTAAGTAACAAAAGAAACTGATAAGCACAAGAGACACTCCACTTTGATACTATATTGGTTTCTTTCCCCAAGCCTTCTATGCAACTTACATACTCGACTTCAAAAGTTTGAAAGGTAAACTTTACCTTCTATTACAAAAGCATATTTTTCACTCTAAACGAGAAATGAGAAAAAATGAGAAAACTGAAATACCAGGGAAAAACTCACCTGAGTGTGATTTATTTTTAAAATACAAATAACTGTTCAAGATCATTGCTTGAATGTATCTTTCATGTACTGCAAGAAGATGCACAGCACTTGCATGCTGAATGCATTTTCAGGTTTTGCTGAATTTTGGGTTAATTACTTGAGCAGGGCACAGAGGCTGTTCATGCTCTGGGAATCTACCTTAAATACTGCTAGTAAAAGATGAGCAGAACAGTCTGCTACAAATATTTAAAAAATGGTGAATTCTTTCTGATCTCATTTCCTGGAGCTGACCTCTAAAAGGCTTCTTTACTTGGGTGCAACATACAACCTCTATGGCTAAAGTGCCTCTGCTGAATAGCCTTTACAGATCACTGGGGAACCAAGTAAAAAGACAGAATGGAACTGAGAAAACTTCATCTGCCCAGTTGCTACTGCAATGGACTTTCCAGGGTGGCTCACAATACCAGCATTTCTAAATTGTCACCCTAAACAGCCAGAATTTTGCCATTCTTAAAGCTAAATGGAAAACATCCAGACACTAGTCTTTCAGAAATCTGTGCAAAAGTCTGTTTAACACTCGTAGCCCTCTGACTCAGGGGTTGGGGCAGCCCAAGGTCTATCAATATTCTTAAAGACTGAGGTGAAAACCACAGTGGATGTGTTTGCTTTTTCTTCATCCCTCTTCATCCCTATGATGATGACCATCTTCAGCAAGTATCAGTCAAGTTTTTCTTTGGACCTACTCTTGCAATATACATACTTTAAAAAGCCCTTCTTGTTATCTGAAACAACACTTCCCATTTTCAACTCTAAGCTTTGGCCTTTCGTGTCTTCTCCCTCCATAAATGAGTCACGGCTCTGTAATCTTCAATTTCACTTAAACCCAACACATTTCTCACTGGCAGATCTGATGGCAAATGTTATAACCACATTTCAAATAATGACTGCAAAGAGGGGAAGAAAAAAAAAACAAACAAACAGCCAAAACAATGAAGACTTTGGGCTTCAATTCTGAAATAGGTTATAAATTTTTGAGTAGTACTGGGAAAAACACAGCACAAACAGGAAGCTCAGCTACAACTACCATTCTTATACCTTTTTCCCCCCGTAGAAATAATACACCATGCTTTCTGGAAGCATGTTATTTACATTTCTTACATTTGAAGTAAAGAATGTGCTTTAAAGAACCCCAACTAGGAATCACTGGTCAACCACAATAAGCTATGACATTAAGCTGATACATAGCCTTTTCAGGAACAATGACAACAGGGTGGAGTGGTCAAAATGGTATTTATACCAACTAAAAAATATTTCTCTAAAGTTTACTTTTGAAGTTCTAGAATGTTGTCTGTTCTGGAAACAAATAAAACAATTCTGCGCAAGTCTGCATTCTGAAGCCCACACCCAGAAATATGGTAACAAGAAGAGTGATGAGCTAGTAACTTTGAGAAAAATGTGTTGTTTCAAACAGAGTAGCTGGATGCTGGTAAGAGCGTATTTTTTGCTGCAGTGATTTATAAAAGTCCAGCTCTCTTCAACTATCACTTCAGTTCTCCTGAGGAGGTTAACGCATGCACAGAGGAACTTGCACAAAGGAATGAATGCAAACACTGAACAAGACAGTAATTTAGCATTTTAATACAAACCTATCTTCACTGCAGACACTGTTACATTTGCATGGACTGCTGCTGAAACAGCTCAGGTTCAGCTCAGGTAGAGGCACACTCACTACTCCACCAGTTTGGCTTTAAGTGCCCTAGCTTCAGAAATCTGTCCGAGTGAGCTGAATTTACTACTCAGTAATTGCGCAGAAATGTCAGTGCTGACATATAAAAAAAAACAAATTAAAAAACATGACATAAATGGCTGGCAATTACGTACTGAAGAGTAATCCATGAGATTATGTAATCTCCATTCATAATATAAAAGACTAAGAAATGTATGATTTCTTTCCCCCTATTTTCAAATCTTAAACACACAAACTGAAGAACCACCTTACCTGACAGAGTTTTGTTTCCTGTTTTCTATTTTCATTAAAATTTGTACATCTGACTGAGGAGACACTGTATAGATTTTTAATCTGGAAAAAAAAATTAAATATGCAACAGAGATAAATAATGTACAATAAGTATTTCCTATAAATGAGGGCTCTAATTGCTAGTATGTTTTTCTAATTACTCTAAATAAAAGGTTCACTGTCAACCCCACTGAGTTTAATTGTGGTTATATTTTTTAGAATTACAGTTGCTTTATTTGATCTTTATGCCACGAGTCAGTTTCTTAATCTCTTCCTGGTTTACATTTGGTGGCTGTACTCCAGGGTTAGGCGGTTGACAAATGTTAGGATGGTTTTCATCACAGGAATTAAAGATGCACTTCTGACTGGGAACTCAGCTCTGCGTGCTGAAAGTGCAGCTAGTTTAAACCATTTATTCAGAACTGTTCCCCTCTTTTAGTAGTGTGTTACATGAACTAGCCAGAAAAGTTATTCAATACACACCTTTGACAAATTACAGGATCTGACTCCACTAGATTGATGTACGGCTTAAGGATATCAGCAAGTGTTTTATCATCAGGCACCCTTTCACCAAAGATAAAAATCAAATACGTAAGACATGGTTCATCATGTACACAAAAATCTGCTATCTGATTCACTTGGAGGAAGCTGTATATTTGCATGCTACAGTGGCACAACTGAACACCTTATGGAAGGATCACAAATATGTATCAATACAGCATAGATAATTGTCAGCTTTATCACAACTTCAACACTAGGACTTCACTGGCATATAGAAGGAGTAAACAGGTAGGTATCTCTAGTTTCTAACCCTGCAGCAGAAACACGCTGTTCCTACAGCCCTAGAAGTAGACAAGGGCATACTTCTCATCCCCCTTCAGGCAAGGAAAATACGATGTCAACAAAAGCTTATTTTTTGCCCTTTGCAACACGTGCTTGTGGGCTTTCCTACAAACCAACCAATGCAGCTATTTCATCCTATACGGTCAGTTCCAGTGTCCAGATGAGGAGAGATGGCAAATCTTGCTGAACGTCTGCTCCATGAGAAAAGAATGTGTTATGTGCATGGGATACTGCCATGACGAATATAGAAGCTTCTCTGTTTACATAGAGAAAAGGACTAGCAATCAAACATTTAACCTGATTTGAAAACCCTGCTAGCTTTCAACTTGTCAATACACAACTTTAAGTACTTTTTAAAAAATTTAAACGCCCTTTTAATTAAGACTAAAATAATATTCAAGTTTACCTTGTATAATAGAATAGATAAGAAATGATAAAATATTTTGCAGTTCAATTTCAGAAGACTAATTTAAACTTCATAAAAATCTGGTTTTCAAGCTTTTACCCTTTTAAAATGTATTCAGCATGAGAGTGAGGAAATACGAGCTTCAAGTGCCAGTAGAACTTTTTCTCTCTGAAAAGAAAAAGAAATAACATTCTTAATGTTAGGTGGTAACTACTACCTGTTTTGTCTATGATGAAATTTGGTAGCCTACAGCACAGGTGCAGAAGAAAATACACAGTCAAAGTTTTGAATGGCATTTTCAAAGAGCAAAAGGGGCAGACAGACAAGCTGAGATGCAGTGCTCCCAGCTTCTGCTGAATTTCAAGTCTTTATGGGATAACTTGTTCGTTACAGACATCTCCAATTATATGATCAACAGCATTTCATGTTTTAAGAGCAACTCTCTTCCAGCTGACTTTCGATATGGATAAATGCCTTTTCATTTCAGAAAAGGAATCTGCTTTTCAGCGTATCACCTGGGACTGGTTGCCAAACTCGTTCAACAGTAATAGCCAGATGTGCCAGCTGAAGCCAGGTTCTACACAAAATAGGGGACTCTCCTGTTCACAGCAGTGATGGCTTCAACAGAAAATGTATCATGGGCAGGGAGGGAAGCTGCATTTTGGCACGACAGGGATAACGGAAGCCAGAAAGAACGTTTTACAGAAAGATCAGGGAGCTTTTTGTAGAGACCAAACTTGACGTCATGTTCCTCTCTCCAACTTGCTAGTTTAAAGACTCATCTTCGCTTTTCCTGCTAGCATAACTAATTCCTGAATATAGAAGCAGAGGGATTGAAATGAGATGATCTTAAGGTCCTTTCCAACCCTAACCATTCCATAATTCTATGATTTTATGATGCATGGTTCCAGTGCAGTATCATGTTAAGAAAGACAGTATTACTAAAAGAATACTTTGCTAGATTAGGAAATCTCTTTTTGTCTTCCTACTTGTCTGCAGAAATGCTGCTGAAGTCAATATTGACTTAAGACAAAGCATCATTCCTCTCATTGCTCAAAATTCTCCCGTTCAGTATGGTGAATGTAACAACATTTTATAAAACAAATCTCCTGAGGAAAAGCACTGTCTAAAAGGTACGTGCATGGCCCTTTGCTCTGGTTCAGAACTTTAACACTCATGATAAACAGCAAAGATCTGGAAGAGGAAGGAGGGTACTACTACCATCTAGAAATCAGAGGCCAGACATCTGTGTGAAGCAGAATGTCTAATGATACTTCTCCCCCCTGGATTTTTTTTTTTTTTTGTTGTTGTTTTAGGCACTACTTAAGATCTATGAAGCATTATATCCAGGATAATCACCACCAGTTATGCAAAGATTCAGGTACTACACTTAAAAGTAAACAGTATTGTTCCAACATGTTTAATTTATCAGGTGAATGAAACATTATCCAGCAGGTTCTAGCTGGCTGCAGAGACCAGTGTATGCATATCCAGTAGCAAAACAGTAAACTCAGCTGCTAAGTTCAGTTAACGGATACCAACTTTTACATGCAAGCACTTCAATAAAAAGTACTCTTATCAAATAAACAATCATTCCCATACCTAGTTATTCCCAGGAAGAAAATAAGCTTTACAGCTGAACTACACTTCCTGCAGCGTAAGTAAAATCAGAACCTTAGCTCCAAGGAGCTAATAATTAGAATAAAAAGAACTAATGAAGGCCAAGTTCCCCAAAGCAACATGAGATTCAGCAGTTGTGCAACATGCTTTGTGATTCCTCCTCTCTATCTGCTTATAATTGTTAACTGGGATTCTGAACACTGAAGATAAGAAAATCATTCCTTATCTAAAAGTTCCACTTTGTGTCATGATTTAATCCTAGGTGGCAAATAAGCACCATGCTGCCACAATACTACTGATGATAATGAAAAGGAAGATAAGAAAAAGAGAGAGGAATAAACCCCAAGAAACACAAGTGATGCACAGGTAAATCGCTCACCACCTCCAGACAATTCCTGGGTAGTGACTGGCAGCTCCGAGCCAATTCCCGTCAGTTTATATACTGGGCAAGACATGCTGTGGTATGGAATACCCCTATGGCTAATTCGGGTCTGGTGTTCTGTCTCTGCTCCCTCCCAGCTTCCTGTGCCTCTCCTCACCAGCAGACCATGAGAGACTGAGAAGTCCTTGATCACAGTAAGCACTACTGAGTGACAACTAAACCACGGGTGTGCTACCAACATCATTCTCACACCAAACCCAAAACACAGCACTGTACCAGCTACTAGGAAGAAAATTAACTATATCCCAGCTGAAACCAGGACACTTCGGAAAACCAGAAACTTTATTTTTTTCTCCCAGCAAGCTAATACTGAAACTGCAGCTAATTACTTTGTGTCTCTTCAAAGTATTCTTGCCTGAAAGTAAAAGGCAAGTAGGTAATACAGATTAAAAACTGGGTAGAGCCTGCTGCATGCCAGTTATTAAAGTGAAGCATCCATCACCACCAATGATCTCTGCCCAGTTAGAGAACTTGATGTCAATTGCAGATGCTATCAAAACTGCTTCACAACAAACTGATTAAAATTTGATATCCTGGCTCCACATCTCACTGACTTCATTTTCCATTATGGCTCACTGGGGTAGTATTTCCTTCAAATACAACTGACATGTACTATGTTCTTTTCTAAATGAAAATGCTTAATTGAGTAAGTCATAGGCAGTCGAGAAACAGTCCACTGCGTGCAGTGTTCCATGCCGATCAGCTGCCATGGAACACCACTCCATGGTTAATACCAAGGCAATGACTACTAAATGGCAGAGATCTGGATGAAGCACAAGCACATCAGTAAATGGGCTTGTGCACATCACGCTGATGTCAGAAAAAGCAGCATCACAGCCCATCCCCGCATTGCTTGGCTTCAGATCCTAGTTTGGCTACTTCAGAAGCATGGAAACTGATCAGAGGGAAGAAGAGGAGCCAAGCACCTCTTCGCCTGCGTGAGATCTAGCTGCAAATTATGCTCAGAACTTCACAGGCTGTTTTGCAATTACTGTTCTGCTAAAGCAAATTAACTGTTTCCCTTTCATTTCACCTTAAACTGCCGAAACCTTATTTTCTATCATCAACTGTAGTTTTTGCAGAACTACATGTAAGTAAGTTTTACATTTTTCACAGCAACAACTGAAAGATTTCCATTTCTGATGTTACAAAGACAACAGCGGTACACACAGAGTGGCTGTTACCTCAAGTCAGAACAACTGCAAAACTTATCTTTCACAGATAAAGCAGTACCTTACAAGATATTTCAAGTACTGCAGGTATAGGCAGTACAGCTGCTGGGAATTAAAGGACAGATCTACAAAGGATTCTGGGATTTGGACAATATACTTAAGTGCCTTGGCAGATTTTTAGAAGTGTCCAGTGTTTACGTATTTCTTAAAACATTTATGAAGTATTTCGTAAGACTTAAATTTCTTGTCCAGGTTTCCTCTGAACAGTCAATTTTGCCTAGACTGCAACAGAAGTTTTTAAGTACACAAAATCCTTCTTTTAACCTTTTAAAATGTGTGTTTATGTGTGTGTATGTATATATATATAAAACACATACTGACAAAAATATCCAAATACCAGTTGCAGTTCTGGCTCTGCAGAAGTCCTTTGCTGCCAGCCTGTCAAACACAGTGATTCACTGATGACTGGTTTCTATTTAGCAACTAATATTCTCAGAATGTTTTAGAAATAGTATAGAGGACATCTTACATCAAAGCGCAAATACTGAGGTATTTCCTGTCTATGTTACTTTGAATTGACAAAAGAGGTGAAAAGGACATAAAGAAGTTTAACGAAGGACAGGTTATCCTTCCACTTGACAATACACAGTACTCTCACCTAATGCACTACAGTTTAATTGAAACACTGGATGTTCACTATCTACACCTTAGGATAATGTTGCCTTTCTCAACTTCCTTAAGCAATGAAGATTCAGCCTAAGTGACTAGATTCTCTTGTGGATTAAAACAATAAATTAAATTAAGAGAGCACGCAGACGTATAATGATTTCACCCCCCTCTCCCCCCAACTCTGTGTTCCTAGAGCCAAACTGACTTCGTTGCATTTCTAATAGCAGCACATAGAGAAGATGACTGCATTTTGTTCAAATTTCATCAAGATAATTCCTGTCTACTGAAAGTTCATGTTTCCTAGTTACAGTAAACAGCAAGACAATCGAAGAAACCGAAATGCACATACTTTGTAACACATATGGTCTTCTGTCAGGGGCCTCCCAACACCAGATGTTACTAACCATATGTGTCGCAATAATCAAACATGCCGGGCTTGAAGTAAGAGTCCTGTGTAAATCAAAGAGACACTGGCAAGGCCAACAAACCCAAACTGTAATAATTTTATATGAAGAACGGGCTAAAACTACCATCCTTTTTAACTCTGAAAATAAACAAAATCACCATCACATTCACTATGAGAATGAAACATTTGTTGCTAGAGGGAAAAAAAAATCTCAGGTACAGAACTCAGTCAGTACTTGTCTTCACATGGGGGTGTTCTGAAAAGCTAGTGATTTATCAAGATGCATGAACATCCTCCTCTCTGATCACACCAGAGTAGCATTTCTTTGCCTGGGAACTTACTTTGGCAGGTCTCAGAAAGCAAGCAAAACTATGTACTATGTAACAACTAAACTCAAGTTTAACAGCTCCCTTAAAGTAATAGTAGCCCAAGACCCAGCTCACGCAACTCCTTAAATTCTTAAGATCAGTAACACTTTAAACAATTTATTTTAATTACCCTCACCTAGCTAAGCATTAAAGTTGACATTATAGGGCTTTCAGGTATATCTCAAAGTAGCTTCTGTAACACTACCTATCTCTTAACTGATGCTAAACCCAAATCTCCACATCTTAGTTTGTTCTCAGAATTAAATAGCGATAAGGAAAAGGATTCCTTCTTCTCCCACATATATTATCTGTTCAGATGCTTCCAAGCTGCAGACATGCCTTCCATCAAGACTTGCAGCCCTCTGGGCAGGGAGGAGGTAAGATTTTGTCTGGGATGTGCTGTGAATGGAGTAGGGAGGAAGCTGGATGGAGACATCTATGACAGTGTAAGCAGAAGGGAGGTTCAGAGCAGGGCAGCACAGATCACAGGGCTGAGGGAGCTGCGCTGTCCCATTTCAGCATCTCACCGCTGTCACCACCTCCTGCCAGAGAACCAGGAGGCATGGAGTTACAAGCTTCCTCCCCTCTTCCCATTTGACCTACTGGCGGGAGCTCCCCAGTTCCTGCCTCAGTCCTCTTCCCAACCTGGTCATGTTTCTCCACTCCTTTCCCAAAGGCCCATTATTGCAACAGGCTACTTCAACTCCATGGCAGCATGCATCCAGAAGGGGAACTGTTGTTTCTACTGAAAAATAAGGGCACAGCAGGACAGATTGGGTGAAGCAACACATTAGAAATAATTCGCAAATACGGCATCCTAAACAATCTCTAAGTCAGATGTCCCATGAGTTCATGAACTGGACTCACACTCTACTTTCTAGTGACCTTCCAGTATCTAAATATTCAAGGTTAGTCTAATCCGTGTGTTGCCCAGCACTGGCACATACGCTTTCATGACACTGAGTGTAGTAAACAAGCTAATGGAAACTGGGAAATTAAATCTGGTTAACACATCCGAACAACCACTGATATGTTCTCCACACCCAGCAGGGGCGGGTGATGACACAAGAATACGTCCTGTACTTCCTAGTTTTAGATTACTCTAATTCCTGACTGTCGTGGTTTAAACCCAGTCAGGTAACTTGTTCGCTCACTTCCCACCCCCCCCCCCCCCCCCCCCCCTTCTTGCCCTCCCCCTGCTCTCGGAGGGACGGAGAGGAGAATCGAAAAGAATGCAACTCCCACGGGTTGAGATAAGAACAGTTTAGTAACTAAGGTATAACACAGATCACTATGCTACCACCAATAATAATAATGATAAAGGAAATAACAAGGGAAGAGAATACAACACCTCAGCACCAGCCGACTGATAACTCGCCCCCCTCAGCCCAACCAAGCACCAACCGATACCTCCTCCAACCCTGCCGTCTCCCAGCCCTTCCGGCTAACTCCCAGTTACATCCTGGGCATGACGTGCTGTGGTATGGAATACCTCTTTGGTCAGTTTGGGTCAGGTGTCCTGTCTCTGCTTCCTCCCAGCTTCCCCTCCTCCCTGGCAGAGCATGAGCCTCACAAAGTCCTTGGCCAAACCAAAACATCTCTATCAGCTCTGTTCCCGAGCCGAAAGTCAAAACACTGCACTGCACCAGCTACCAAGGAGGAGAAACATGACTGCTACTGCTGAACCCAGGACACTGACTTGCATAGTCCAGCAGTTTGGCTTGCATGGAGAGCGTGAAGAGGACATCAGAGAAGCTGTGCTCAGCTTTCCATGCACATATGTTGAGCAGCTTCCAAACAACCTGCACCCTCTGGAGCAACTCCTCTACATGTCTCAACTGACAAACAGCATGAGAAAGGGTTCAGTTCTGCAGAATAGACACACCAGTCCCTGACCACAGTCAGGTGTTAACTTCATATAACATAACTGTTTACATAGCTTTACCCCATTTGAATGTAATATTCAACAACATGTTATGGGTGTTATGAATTCATATGGGATAGGTGTTAAATGGCTGATACTCCCTGGTTCAATGAATCCTGAGGTTTGATTCCTTGGGAAACCATTTAAGGAGAGTAAGCAGAATATGCCAATTAAAAACAATCAACCAACCAAACTTGCCCAAAACAACCAACCAACCAAAACCAAAGGTTAATTTTTAATCTGCAGCACCGATTTCAAAAAGCTGATTGATGTGTGAGTATCAGTAGCCACAAAACAGGGGAAATGTGTCCTTTGTGTAGTACTGAGCATATTCCATACCGCTAGACAGCATTTACAGGAAAGAGAGGGTGATTATCATCTTCAGAAGAGAGAACATTACATGTTCTTTCTGGTGGGATGTTAAAGTCCCAGAAAGGACAGCAATCCATAACAACAAAATTACCCCAGGGCTTTATGATTAACACAAACCAGTAAGGCATTCCCCCAGATAGCCTGTGGAATATTTGCATGCCCATTTGCCAGTAAGTTACCTTCCTTATCCCATTTTCTAGCTTTTAAATCTGCTTCTGTTAAACAACATAAAGCACATGATATGCATGAAAACATAATCTGCTCAAAGCTTAACTGTGAGCTATGTTTCAGTGTGTACCCAAAAAGGCTTTCTAGAGAAAAAGAACTGAAAAACACAGAACATGAGGTCAAATGTCTGTAGCACAATACTGTACTACACCCAGGATCTTCCCAGCATCAAACCTTGCTGTATCCATACCTTTTCTGTTCTTATATCCTTTTCTTAGCTGCTGATCCCAGCATCCCTGGTCTTTCTGCATTTGCTCTGGCTCTTACAGGCTACTCCTCACCTGTATACCTTAAAGGTGTTCCTGTTGTTTTATCCACAAGGAAAATTAAACTCAGCTCTAAGACCGAGATACTTCAACAGCATGAGACTAGCATAAGATACCTGTAAATGACAGAACACGCAGCCAAGGCAAAGGAAGTCAGAGCAGAGGCAGGCAGCCCATGGGACTCACACTGGCCAGGTGTGGAGCTGCTGCCCTGCCTGCTCCCAGGGAGAGCCTCCGTGGTGTAACTGTGGGGTGACGGCGGAGAAAGTGCCCCAGCTTTCCCTTCTTCCCATGGTCCGCCCGGGGCTCTCCCTCGCAGTACCGTATGTATCTTCACAGCGCTGGACATCCACACCTCCTGAGCGCCTCAGGCTCCGCAGCGCCGAGTGCCGCTACCCCTCCGTCAGAGAGCGACACCTGGTGGCCACTGGGTGCTCCGGCGCCTTAAGCCATCGAGGAAAGCGCTAAAACGGCGGGCAGCCGCGCCGCCGGCGGCTGCCGCAACCTGAGCGGCGTTTGTACGTGTTCCCATGGTACATCGAGAGCAACTTCAGACCTGTTTCCTGCCACGAAATGGTTCGGGTTGGAAGGGACCTTAAAGCTCATCCAGTTCTAACCCCCTGCTATGGGCAGGGACACCTTCCACTAGACCAGGTTGCTCCAAGCCCCATCCAATCTGGCCATGAACGCTGCCAGCCATAATGAAACATTTTGTAGGGTTTTTCTTACTACTACAGTGAACTTACTTCAAAATACAAACTATGGATACTGTGAAAAATGCCACAGAGTGGATAAAAAGAAGAATACTTAAGAATCTTCCTAGCCTTTTTCCCAAATTCCCATCTGTCTGCCTCTCTAAGCTGCACCATCTCAAGCAACCACATCATCCAGCACAGCAACTTCTATCACAACGTGACTGTTACTGGAAGCACCTCTTCAGACTTAAAGTCATCCTTTCAGAGAGAGGCGCTTATGCAATCATTCTACATCAATCCTCTATCATAAACCTTTAAAGAAGTGTCTTCTTTTCCAGTAAAACTCAGTGTTAATTAAATATGGAAAAAACACATCATCGACTCTTCCTCCAGTTATTCTTCTTGGTGCTCCTCCAAACAAAGTGTGAATTGCATAAGCCGATGATATCAAAGAGCCTAAAAAATGAAAACCTGCAGCACAAAATACCAAATCTAGATAGCTTTTGTAAAAAAATTATGCACCTAATGGATTTTAACAGCAAGCACGATGGAATGAATCCAGATTCACACCATTATGCGTTCAATGAAAACAAAATATTGCCGACTGTAACCCACTGAAGACTCACATGTAATTGAAGGTGGTTGAATTTTCTCTCCTCTTTGTAAATCCAACAGGCAGTGTTCTCAGGTCAATGTCACACTTTCGAGCTTTGTTTCTCAAGCCATACAACTAGCAAAAAAAAAAAATTTTTTTTGTAAATATATGAATAATATCTTCCAAACCCAAAATTTAAACAGTAAAAGAGTAATGCTGACAGGAATTATGGGAAAAGTGTAGAAAAGGCCATATTTAATGAAGCACTTTGGTTTAAAAAAACCCATCAAATGAAAAATTAATGAAGTAAGCCTAGAAACTATCTGAAACATTCTCAGGTGAAGTTTTCCCATGCTTAAAAACAACATACCAATGACTTCTTTATAAGTTTTTTAACACCCTGGGAAACACACAGACAACCAAACACAAGAGTTGGTTTTTGGGCTACAAGCCCACTAGCAGAAGGGATGCATAAGCACCATCTTAGCCACTATGACAAATTCCAATTTGAAGGTTGCACTAAGGATATCATCTCAAGACATTCTAGTACGACACCCTAAAACCTGCTACCTGTGCAGCATCTCACCACCTTCAGTGAACATTTTCAAGACATCATGGCAACCAGCGCACGCACAGAGTATGACTTCAGCCTGAGAGAAAGCTGGAGTCTGAATTTACTCTGAATTCACCCTGTCATCAACCTGAGTTCTCTCCAACTGAGTTTAGAATTTGAATATATCTTCACAAGACTGGAAAACAACATGGCCCTGATGCCTTTCTGTGATTTATCAACAAATCAAGTACTTTGGAGTAGATTTTGATTTTCTGTGGTTTGTGTGTTTTCCCCTTCTGGTCTTCACAGTTTATCGTCACAGAACTTTCAGGAAAAGCAGTAAATTTCTGTGATCTCATTAGTGCTTTACTAGAACTGGAGGAGTTGCAGCAAAAATCCCCTGTCACCTGTAGAAGGCTGGCTTTTACTTCATTGTTGTTTAGATTTATTCTCTGCAGAAGTCTAGTTGTCTTCACTCGGTATGAAGGGAAGCATGTAATAGTTTTTAATTTAATAAATCCAAGTTCACCTGGGAATTCTGTATTTAAAAATTCAAAAAAAGATGTGGAGATGGGAGGAAACACTCAGGCTTTCTTAACATGCATTTGTCATCAAACAGCAGAAGTGGTCATGCATCACTTCTAAGAATAAAACACTGTGAGCAACTTTAGCTAACTTCTCATAGCAAATGGACATAGCCATCAATACTATTATTATATAAACCTTGAGACTTCTTTTGATTTCTGGCTCTAAAATTCAGGGTCATTCATACTTTCGTAAGAGAGGTATCATATCTGAAAACTGCATTGGGACTGCCTCAGTGGGAATTCATAGGTAGTCAACACTCCAATAAACCAAGCTACTAATTTCAAACTTACAAGTTTTTTTGCTGTTGGATTATGCACAGTAAGATGTCGAGCAGCAGCATCAGCCGCCCTTCCTACATCTTCCAGGAATCTATAATCTGGAGGTAAAAAAAAACAAGCGAGGAAAAATGCAGTGCCATCATTTAGCAGGGCAGGAAAAAAAAGGGACAAATAGTAACGATAGGAAAATGAGACTATACAAAACAAGCGATGTGCAATACAATTGCTCACCTCTTGCTGACCGGTGCCCAGCTAGTTCCTGAGCAATAGCCTGGGTCAGCTTTCCCCTCCAGTCCACATGCTGAGCACAATGCTATATGGTGAGGAATATTCCCTTGGTCAGCTGGGGTCAGCTGTCCTGGCCGTGTCCCCTCCTGACTACTTGTGCCCCCCAGGCTGCTTGCTGATGAGAAAGGGTGGGAGGCTGAGAAGCCCCTGACTTACTGTAAACACTGCTCAGCAACAACTAAAGCATCGGTGTGTTCTCAATATTATTCTCATCCTACATTCAAAACATAGCACTGTACCAGCTACTAGGAAGAATGAGAATTCTACCCTAGCCAAAACCAGGAAACTAACCTTGTAAAACCAATGAATTTTAAAAAACACATGGATCGTTCTTACCACTCAAAAGATTCAAGTCAGTAAATTCATTTACGGAGACAAATGCTGTTTTATCCCTGACTCCATTACAGCTTAATGCAAGCTTATGCTTCTTCACACACAACAGACTAAAATGACAGAAAAGAAAAACATTAACATTCTGTATTCAGGATGAGTGGAGCAAATAACCAAAACAGTTTAATTCAGATAACAGATACCTGCACGAATATTTCATGCATCGTGGACACCTGTACTTAGCTTCCTCTTGACTACATGTTTCACACCTGAAAGAAGTAAAAAGTATCTCCTAATAAATGCAACCCCCAAAGTCAAGGAACCTCTCAAGCACAATGTGGAAGCTTTAGAAATACAGATAACTAGTAACTCGTGAAAAAAAAAAACCAACCCTCTACAAATATAATCTTCTCTATTTTAATTAAGATATTACAATGGATGTTTCCCCTATTCTTAGGAAAGTTACTGATAACTGAAATAACTGTCACTTGTCATTTTAACTCTGATGAATGGGGAAGGGAAATAAATGCCCCCCACCTGCAAAGTTTTCAAGAATGGCACGAACCCACCCCTTTTAAAGGACAAAGGTAAGTCTTGAAATACTGTTTTTCCCATCCCTACCACGCACCTGCTGCTAGCTAACAGCAGCGGTGTGAAGGACAAGCCCAGCAGTGTCATCTCCTGCAAGAAGGTCACTTTATACACTGCCAAAATAATGTATTATAAGTAAAACAGTGTTTCGTATTTAGGAATAATAGTAGGAAACATTTCATCACCGAAAGGGTGGTCAGGCATTGGAACAGGTATCCCAGGGCAGTGGTGGAATCACTGTCCCTGGAAGCGCTCAGAAACCGTGTAGACAAGACCCTCAGTGACACGGGTTAGTGGTGGACTTTGCAGTGCTGGTGTAATGGTTGGATTTCGTGATCTTAAAGGTCTTTACCAACTTAGCTGATTCAGTGGTTCTATGATTCCATACACTGCAAAGCAGAAATAAAGATTCCTTTTTTTGCAGTATCTCCACCGTGCCCAACGCACACTGGCAGCTCAGCTGGCTACACCATAGAAAACCTGCCAGGCGGTACCTGTGTGCAGACTCCGCCAACACCCAAGCGCAGGCGCAGCTACCCAGGGCAAAGCTCACCCCGTGCTCAGAATAGCCCTCTCGCTCCTCTGAAACGAAACTGCCCTGTAGGGCAGCGGCAGCGTCCACCGCATCGCCGGCTGCTCCTCTCCATACACTATGGGGAGAGTCGAGAAGAGCTGCAAGGACACAGGACAGCCATGCTGGGCACCGGGGGGCAGGCCCGGCCCGCAGCAGGCCCTGCGAAGCCCCTAGGGCAGGCCCAGGGCGCCAAGAGAGGCCGGCGCAGCCTTTTCCCTTCGGCGGCCCCCAGTTTTCGCGGAGCCCGGGGACGGCGCTCCCGAAGCGGCCCCGCACCTTGCCCGTGCCCCTACCCCTCGGAATACCTCTGCAGGGATATCTTCCGCCCGCCCGCCGGCAGACGAGCGCTGAGAAGGCCCTCCCGCTCCGCCATTGCCGCGCGGCACCACCTCCCCACGCGGAGCCTGGCGGGGCGGGCCCAGCAGCGTCCTTTCCTGGGCGGCAGCGCCGCCTGGCGGCACTCGGAGCGCCGAGGCCCCCGAGAAGGGCCTCGCTGGGAGGGGCCTGCTGCAGGCTCTTTCACAAGCTCCGCCTCCCAGCTGGTTTTAAATGGGTTTTAACCACGAGAAATAGCAGGTAAAAGCGTTCTGACAAAAGCTCAGAGCTTGCTCTAGAATTAAGGGTAACGAAATAGGTGACTACCTCAGAAACCATAAAAACATTAGAATCATGGAATCAACGAGGTCGGAAAAGACCTTCAAGATCACCAAATCCAACCTTTACCCCAGCACTACCAAGACTACCACTAAACCATGTCACTAAGGGCCTCAGCTAAGGGTTTTGAACACTTCCAGCCTCTTACAATGCCTGACCAACCTTTGGGGAAGAATTTGTTCCCAACAGAAATTTTTCCAAATAAGATTAATTGGAGTGTACAGGTACTTGCTAACATTGTGGGACAAAACTGCACGAGATCTCCTGCGAACACCTTTAGGAGCTCTGGTGAAGATGCCCGAGCACAAGAGGCTTTCCAAAACACGTTTTTAAAATCGATGATTTCTGAGACATGCTAATATAAACCATAAAGTAATAAATAACTTCCAAAAACAGTGCAATGAAACTAATGAAAACAGACATGAAACAATATACATGTTCTACAATATTACTTTCTTACAAAAACCCAAACTTAATCCATTTGTCACAACATCAGCTCCACAGCCAAGCTACCAGCATAATATTGTCAGGTTGTAATGACCTGGAAAATGCAAAGAGAGAGACATATTCTCTAACCTTTAGATTTTCTCTAAGGGAACAAAACTGCTGCTTCCATATAAAACGTAAAATGTGATGTATGTTACCTTGTAAAAGTAAATACAGTCACTGGCCGTATTCCATGGCACAAAGCATGTGCATTTCCCCGTGGTAAAAGTAGCATTGACACCTGACAAGTACCCTTCTAGAGGATTTTGTTCTTTACCAAGACTGAACTACACAATACGGAACAGAACAGTAAAAGACAAACAGATAGTTTGGAAGCTTATTTTATTATACTTTGGTATATGTGGTTTCCTGTGGATCAAGACAGTTAAACAAGTTGTTTGAACACTCCTCTGCTCCCCAGGAGAGCCTGGTACCACCTTGCCGTGTACTACTGAGCACACTTTGGATTGATAATAGATACAGGGCTATCATTACAACAAGTGCTTTCCCTAATGGTAAAATTGTTTTTTTTATTAATAAAAAAAGATGATTGAACACTTTAGACTTAATTAAAAAACAAACAAAAACACCCCCCCCCAAACAAACAAAAAACCACAAACAACAAAATGATCTAGTGTGTGAAAAATGGAATTTCTAGGTGGATGAAACTATTATAATTTAGAAGCAGCCATTCAGAAGACGTGTTGTAGTAGATTTTTTCACAAGTTACAAAATATATACACAATGTATCATCTTGAGATGCCTTTGGCATTAAAAATGTTGACTGAAATACAGAATCTAAACCTCAAAACTACTGTAGGTAGCTCTTCTACAATATTTTTTACAATGCCTGTAAAGCTAACTGTTCTGACTATATGCATCCTATACAATGCGCTGTCTCATATGCCATTTCCACAACAGTACACAAAAATATTTAAAACAAGAAATCCACATAAATAACGTTTTCATTGTAATGAAGTACATGACCAATAATTCAAAATAAGCACCTTTACAACAGAAACATATCCTGATGTAACCAGCACATACAGTCAAAGATAAAAAGGGACTCAAATAATCTCTGCTAAGGCCACAAGCACCTTGTGTTATGAAGAGCACCAAGGCAACATGGACAGGAAACACAAAAGAGGTAGTGTGCCATCTGTTAAGATGTATGTGTCCAGCAAGGACTAGAATAAAGCAATGTTTCAGAAAAGAAGATGTACTGTACTGTGGCATAATTCACTTTTCATACATAAGCTATTGCACATTTAGGAGCATTAGCCAGTATTGCTCCTCAGTATTGTATGTCTCCAGCTTTCCTCGGGGTGGCTTTGTTGCTGTGCTCTTAAAGAGATTGCTGAGAAACACCAGAGGTCCTGAAAAAGTCCATGTTCAGGTACTCAGTTCCAGAAAATTACGCAAGGAAGCACCAATATATTTTTAAATACTTTATGAAAGCTGTAGTTCTTTTATTTATTTCTTTCCTTTTAAAATGCCATTTCTCCTTAGGAGGAAGTCCTTTTCTTCCTGAGGCTCTTTAACCGATATAATTTAAAATGATTCTTCAATTTCCTACTTATTTTGCCTGTAATGGATCATTACTTTTGCATTTAATCTATGCAGCAATTCCATGTTGATGCAAAGAAAAACCACAACAAACCCCACCAACCCCAGGACAGAAACCTTAAAGGAAGCACACTGAACCGCCTTCTATGAAGTGCTGCTGTCCTGGTTTGAGGTGAGGAAGTGCATTAACTTGAATGACTGGAAGCTGATTAGTGTCCTGAGTGTGAAAAAAGAACTGTGTCTTATGCCAGCTGCCATCTTCCATCTGCAACACACAGGAGCAGAATATTAGTTTCGTATCAAAGACACGCTTCAAAACACAAATGGGAATTGAGCTGATAGAATGAGAGAAGGAAGTGAAGCGTACAAAAACATTTCTTCTCCCAGCAGTTCATAAAGAAATGGTGTAATTTAACAAATGCCATTTCTCTCATGCAACACCATGGGCACTCCTGGCAAAACTGTAACTATAAAAAAGCCAAGCCTAGAATCCAGCTGGAAGGGCTGGAGACATAGCGCGGCATGGCTCAGAGCAGAGCACCTGGCACTTTGCAAGCAGTCTTGGGCTCATACAGACTCTCAGATCTCTTGCAAAATTGAACTCCTAATCTCAAGAGCAGGTCTTGAACTCAGTAGGTTATGAAGTCTACAGGCACTTGAATGACTGTATAGGCCCTTGAAGAGTAATCATGGAAATGAGACTTCCATTTTTGCCATGAACTTGTTTATTCTAATCCTTTAAAACTCTCAGTAAAAAACTGATACCTCATAAAAATTATAAAATAGCATGATAACATTGTCTGAGGCTGGGAATATCTTGATGTTTGCAATTACTCCACTGTGTTCTTAAAAACCACTAAGCATGCAGTGGATGCTACTGAAAAGAAATCCCTGCAGAGAGGGAAATATGTGAGATTCTGCAGCAGATCTATACAGTACATAGTTTGCCACAGAAAGAGCAACAGACCCCATGGAATCTCACAGAGAAACAGCACTTTTCAGCAGCCATCACTGTGTGCCTTAATTTTTCTCAGGGATTAAAACAGTCCCAAGCAGACTGTGACATGGAGGAAGAGGGCTTCAGTGGCCATACCTTATCTGTGTGACACAGGCTAGAGCATCTCATGAGCGCATGCTAGTAAAGGTTGAAAGCATAAAAGCTTCAAAGTGCCCCAATAAAAGCACTTTGTTTTGAGATTAAAAATCTCACTTGATACCCCATATCAATATGGAACCAGTCTCACATCTGTCATTATTGTAAATGAAAGTAGAGCTATAAAACACTGAAAGTGTAAGATGCATTTCATAGTGTATTTCATAGTATTCGATCAAGACCAAATAGCTTACATTTTGGTGACTGGAATAATCTAATAAGCATTAGAAAACTAATAAGCCCTTCTGATTTTTCCCAAATACAAATATGATTTAGTATTTTGTTAACCATGAAGTCTACTTCCAATCATCATTTTATTATATAACCAAACAATGTCTGTGAATTTAAAGATATTTAGATAGCCAAAACATAATTTCCAGCATGTCTGAACCTACAATTTTGTGTTAGATAACCTCAACAGAACTCTTACTGAAGTATGAATTTTCATTTTGAGAGTTACCGTTCCTAAAGTTTCCTGGAGGACTTCCTTATTTCTGTTCTGATCTCTCTCCAGTTTCCCAGCACAGTCTCAAAATATGTGACACCCAATACAAACAGCAAGTGTAAATGCCCTGTATTACTGCAACTGCTTTTACATTTGGATAGATGTTGAATTTAGTACCAAAAGGCTGTTATATAGAGACATATGCAGAACAAAGTAAGAAGTAAGCTTCAAGGGATGTGAATCTAAATTACTGTTATTTATTTGCAGAAAGTTAATAACGTCTAAACAGTAGCTACATTATGGTTTTAATATGTGCTAAAGAGCATTTACCATGCATTCATCCAAAAGCACCTTCGGTTCAAGCAGTGTATTTGCTTTAAATATTTGACCATTCCATCCTTTGAAGCTAACAGACATTTTCTGGCCACCTGCTTTATTTAATCCCCACATCGGTGTGTTCAGACAATGAACTGTGATGCTATGGGTTGCTTCTGAGCTCAGTAAATGAAGGAAGTTCATCTGCACTTTTCCAACGCCGAACTCCAGCTAAGTTCCAAGAGAAACGCACCGTTAGACTTACAGCTGGACTATGCCGAATGGCTGCAGCAATGCCAAGTGACATGCACATACATGCAGTGTTCAGGCATGGGAGCATGTTTAAATGTTTATACACTGGGATCAGTGCCAAAACGTATGATTTGTATTTATCAGGAGAGCTGTTAAGTTCTATTACAGTGATTACTATAAACAGAAGCTTTCATAAGGCATTTTCAAAGCTCAAAAATAAACATTTGCTAATGCTTACAACATTGTTGAAATGCAGCTGGGCAGAAAACACTGTTTTTAAGTAAGCAAAACAAATGATTTTGTGATTTAGATAAAGATATTATAATCACAGTGTTTAAACTGCAGCCACATCATTCTGCTGTTTAGCTGTCTTAGACCACAGGCTTTGGCATTCCATTAAAAATCAAAAATTTCATAAGTATACTTTGATTTTAGATAGAACACATAGTTACTCATTACTCAATGAGAATTTCTCCAAGACTAGATCATATTCAGGGGTTTTCCAAATGTAGGAATGAGTATGGAAACTGTAGGGTATTTCTGATGCTCTTCAATGACTAAGGTTTATATGCAAATATCCACAAATATAAGATTGTATTCCCAAAGGTTTTAGGACTACATCTAAAGAGGAGCATGGACTAATGATACAAAGGAAACCAGTCTCTTCCTAATGGCATTTAGAAGTACCTAAGCATTAAAAAGTAGCCATAATTTTCTTCCTTCCCACTGCAATGACCTCAGCGTCTCTACAGTTAGCTGCCCTGAGTGATGAGTTACTAATGTAGCTTAGAAGCATTTCAGGCTTATTTTTATGCTTTGGATAAGAAAGTATAAGGCAAGCCAAAATAATTCTGTCAACACAGAGGGTGAGTAAATGAAGTAAATGAACAAAGTGAGGGTTATACTAACATCTATGGTCTCCAGAAAATCTGTAACTTCTGTAACAGAATGCACAACATGTCCTTCCACAAAGATGCACATTGAAAAAAACCCTGAAGTCTAAGATCTTTTCATGAGGTAAGTAAATAAGCATTCATTTGTTCAGAGTTCCAGTACAGATAAAGTCTTTGTGAAGCAATGCATACCTTTGTCACAGACAGTGGCGTTAAACATGTCTGACCACCTGCAGTGAAGTTGCAGAAAACTTCAATAGCATCAGAAGGACATCCAATATTTGGGTCTATCCAGTATTTTCCTTTTAGTATATATTCCATATGGAAAATAGAACCAAAATATAATTGTTACTAAATAATTTACTAAAATATTAATGTTTTTTGGCAAGTATTAGGTATATCACCATAGCTTTACTAGGAAATTAAAGAAAAAAAAACAAGAAACTCTTTTCACTATTATAATTCTACTAATAACAGATACTGAGAAAAATTATCATAATCATTCAATTGTGATGACATAAATGATTTCTGAATACTGTCATGGTTTCAAAAATATTTTCTTTTTCTACAGCTAAATAGTGAGAACAAACAGCTTTTCCAGTCTGCTCTTC